AATTTTTCCATCTTTCTCTTTTTACTTGCAAACTTATGTTAGATCATTCCATAAGAAGAAAATCTTGACGTATGTTCGTCAAATGTTTTACATGCATATGTAAATTACATATAAGTAAATGCCTTTTTGCCTTTGTCTTCTTGTTTATTTTTTCTTATATTTTTTTTTCTTTTTTCTTTCTTTTTTTCACAAGAATGATTTAGTCTCGTTATGGTTTATATCCAAAGATTTTCAAACTTTGATTTTAACAGCTCTTTCTCAAGAAAAATATCATTTTAAAGATGATCTTCGGACGTTTATTTGATCATCGTAAGATTCCTATTTCATGATTGTATTTCTTCAATAATTTTTGATTCAATGTTACGTAAAGGATTTACTCGAGGATTTTTTTTTTTAAATTGAACTCGAAAGAATCATGTTCGCGTTTATATGAGAAATAATTCTACCTGGGTTTGTGCATACGCACACGCGCACACACACACACACACACACAAAGAGAGAGAGAGAGAGAGAGAGAGAGAGAGAGAGAGAGAGAGAGAGAGAGAGAGAGAGAGAGAGAGAGAGACACGTGCGCGCTTGTTAGAAATACGAGTTTTATAAAAATTCGTTTCTTCTTTATTCTTTATAGTTTAAATTTTAATGACATTTATTTGACATCAAAAAAAGAAATCATGCTAGTTCGAAAGAAGAAAAATAGATAAATCACTTTTATTTCCTACGATTATGTAACTGTATTTGTAAAATATTATCACGTACAACTACGAATTGATTTTTCTGCCTGAACATTTTTATCATTCTTCGTTTTCTTTCTATTTTGTTTTTGTGTCTTTTTTTTTTTTTTTTTTTTTTTATTATAATATAGATTGTGCGTCGAAGAATATTATTAGATGATTTTTAAAAATCGATTACTCCTTTTTTGGGGAGACTAATTTCTAAGTAATTCGTTTTCTTTTTCTTTTTTTTCCTCTCTTTTTATTTTTCTTTTTTTCCTTTTTTTTTTTTTTTTTTTTACCTCTTCTTTCTTAGATTGTAAAAGAAAAAATTCCTGTGCCCGTAATCTCGCAAAAATTATTTGACGAAGTATCGAGAAAGATTTTATTATATCTATATATTAGATCTAAACGTATAGTTTTTTTTTTCCTTCATAATTTTAAAATTTATCGAAGAAACTGAACAGAATAAATAAGACTATTTTAAATAATAATGACGTACATGTCCATATGTAACATGGTACATATATTATTCAGCTCGGTTTTATTTGTTCGGTAATGACCAGTGTAGGTATATATATATATATAGTGTAGGTATATATATATATATATATATATATATATATATATATATATATATATATATATATATATATAGAAAACAAGGTATATGTACTCGTTTAGTATAATTTTTCAATTATACGCTTCATAGTAGATTAAAAGGGAAACTCGTTTACAGCAACTTGATACGCTATTTAATGTTCTACTTTCGATATTTTTCTTTTCTTTCTTCCTATTCTTCTTTTTTTTCGTTTATTACTATTATTATTATTATTATTATTATTATTATTATTTTTTTTTTTTTTTTTTTTTTTTTTTTTTTTTTAATAGTTATATAAAAACGAACATTATTCGATATATAAATATCTTTTTATTTTGATCGTGGCTATTTAATATAAATTAATTTTAATTATTGTCGATTTTGGTTAATAGAAAACGAGGCAATTGAAATAGATTAGACACACTGTTGGTATTATCTGTTATCTTTGTTATTATCTATATTGTAAAATTTCTTTTTTTTTTTTTTTCTCTTTTTTTTTTTTTTTTTTTTTTTAACGAAGATACGTTTACGTTCGAACATTTGATCAATTTTAACGAACGAGATTGATGAAAGTATTTCTAATTACTTTCATTGTCGTGAATATTAGTAAATGTTCGTACGATCGTTATTTTTATTCTGAACGAGAAATTATCGATCCGCAAACATTTATTATTTATTACGCGACAACGATTTAAAAAAACACAAACGAGAGAACTTTGTTAGGATTATAGAAAAAAACAAAAAAAAAAAGAAAAAAAAAATAAGAAAAGTAAAAACAAATGAAATGAAAAATAATTTTAATCCTTTGCGTTCGACGACTTTTTCGAATGGGCGAAGTAATAACTCGAGATGATTTTTCTCATATTTGAGTACTATACAGGTGACATAAAATGATTTTATTATAAATTATTATAAATTTAATTATAAATTTTATTATAAATTAACTTATAAAAATGTTATATCTTAATATGTTATATAATTAATATAATTTAATATAATTAATATTTTATATATATATATATATATATATATATATATATATATTTACATCTTTCAAAATATAATTTTGTAATAATAATTTCTGCAATTTTTTTTAAACATTTTTTTGAAAATCCAATTAATGTTCACTTAAGCTAATTTCATTCTTGAAATCCATTTTTGTAGGGCTTCAAAACTTTGTAATATTTTTACCATGATCATCGCGTATCTGAACTAATGTCAGGGATATTATCAGAATCACAGCGAAATTTGAGATTAATTTTATCTTATCTACATTTTAAGATATATCATTTTACATTTCTTATGAAAAAAGATAAATAGCTAAGGAATCTATTTATGAATTTCATGAAGGTAACGAAATATTTAGCATAAATAAAGATTGTCATTTCTCGAGCGCTAAGGGTTAATGTAAACATTTGCAATGACTATTTTGCGCGAGGTATTTAATAACTATAAGATTATTTATAATTGAATATTTGTAATATGAATATAATCAGATACAACAATGTGCATGCGTAAGTTTTGTAAAAAAACAAAACAAAGAAACACTTGATAAAAAGATTTCAAAATGTTCCCATTTTTTCTTATCTTTTTCTTTTTTTTTCCTTTCTATCTTATTTATTTATTTATTTATTTATTTATTTATTTATTATTATTTTTTTTTAATGCTTCAGTTTCTTATTTTTTTCTTTTTTTTTTTTTCTATTCTTGACCTACTACGTACGATAACATTAATTTATCTTATTTATTCGAGAATAATTCATAATCATTACTAGAGAATCTAAAAGAAAATTCGTTTTATTTGCAGAAAATAATTTATAATTAGTTCCACGATACATCCTATGTATTATCTATTTAATAAAAAGAAAAAATAAAGAATATTTTATGTTTAATAAGAGAGAAAAAAGAAAACTAATTAGTTAGTTTTCTCTTCTTAGTAAAATAATTTAATTGTTTATTTTTTACAAATATAATGCATTATATGAAGAAAAAGGAACCGTCTTATTTACATTCGCATATACGTGCGAAACGATAATTAACAGTTTCTTAACTAAACTTGTATTTCACGTCTTACACAAATTTGATTTAATTATATTCTAATGAATGAACTAATTATAATTTATTTAAAGTTTCATCAGCTTTTGTTAGATTTAGCACATATTATTTATGTATGTATATATATATATATATATATGAAGTTTTGCATATATATATACAGTATATACATATATATATATATACACACATACATGTATATAATAAATTCGTGAAACGAAATGCGCATAGATTATTTATCAAAGCGGTTATATGATTGCTTAATTACGTCATATCTAAAGCATGTACGTCCGTATTTCTATCTCTATTTCTCTTTTTCTCTATCCTCTTTCTCTATTTCTCTCTCTCTCTTTCCCTCTCTCTCTCTCTTTCTCTATCCTTCTCTCTCTCTCTTTCTTTTTCTCCCTTTCTCTTTCTCTCTCTCTTTCTCCTTCTCCCTCTGTCTGTATGTATTTCTCTTTCAATGTTTCTGATGAGAATCATGAATAACATCGAAAGAAATAGTTTAAGGTATGTTTAAAAGATTAAGGATATCCGTTTTGATTTTGCACGCGGCATAACAATTTTAACAATGATTTTCATTTTATAAATAATTAAATTAATTTATTCAATTATTAAATATTAAAGCGATACAGTTCTTTAAAAATGTTAAACAACGAATTTTTTTTTCTTTTTTCTTTTTTTTTCGCTTATCATTTTTTCTTTATAAATCTCACATATTATTTATATCTCATGATAAATGTCTGACGATATGTTCGACCTTCATTGAAATTCATGTACATACACCCACATTCAC